CATTTTATTAAATTTTAAAATTATTATAATTGAAAAATAATATTAAAGTATGTAAAATTATTTGATATAAAAGAATACATTAAGAATTCTGTTGTTGTTGTTCAACATTTTAATATTTAATTAGTTAACAATAGTTTTTATTATAACATTTTAATTAATAATTTATATAAATAAATTAATCAAGTAATTATAAATAATTTAAACTATAGCTTGAATATTGATCCATTATTTAGTAAGTTAGGATAAACTTAATTTGTTATTTAGTTGAAAAATTAATTTTCATATTATATCTTGTAATATTTTGATTATATTCTTAGATATTCTACATAATCTATATGAAAAAAAAGGATTATTATGATTTATAACTTACCTGAAAATATTTTGTACTCTCAAACCCAATTTCTTTTTTTTCAATTAATAACAAATTTTAAGTTAGTTAATATTTATAGATTAAATATTTATAATCTGATATATAATCATTTCATTCCTTAGTATTTGATTCTCATTTTCCATTTACAAAGTATCTATTATAAAATGTTTTTAATAATTTTTTTTTTGTGCTTATCTCAATTAAGATTTTCCATTATATTTAAAGTTGTCAGAAATAATCGAAGATCATCACTTAAATTTTTTGTCTTTATCTTCTAAACAATGGTTTTATGAACCATCTTTATTTCTTTTCTTATAAGTTTAATTTATGTAACCATAGACTAAAACATCTTGTTAAAATTCAACTTTTTTTTATTTTAATAATGAGGTAACATAAATTAATCATTATCTACTATTTCATTGTTCTCTGTTGAGTTTTTCCTTGATGAATGTTACCCTTTAATATTAAAACATAGTTTCTACTATATTGACCTTTTGATAAAAACTTTTTATCAGTCTCAGGCAATTTTATATATATTCCATTTTCTCTACTGTTTTTTGATATTTTGAACTAATCAAATATTTTTAATCCATATTTTCTTAAGGTACCTAGATTAATGGAAATATTATTTTCCTTTAATGCTAAAGAAAACCTCTTTATTAGTCATGTTAAGGAGAATGTAGATGAGAATTAAATAATCTTTCTGAAATCCATTTTTTTATGAGAAATTTTTTGATAGGGTAATACTCTTATTATTCTGTATCATTTAGTTAGTAATGAAAAGAGATTGTATTCACTTTAAATTATAAAAATTCAAAATCTGAAAAGTTATTTGCAACCTTCATTTTAACTATCTTACTTCTATTTAGACTTAAGTCAAAGTGAACAATATTGAAAGATGCTTCCATTTTAGATTATATATTATATGAACATACGGATAATAAATTTTAATATTTGCACTAACATTGATATTCAAATCACATTCATGATTAATTTGTGTCATCAGCAAATCTATTTAACTTCTCAGAACTTTTTATAATAAATGAATATTCCTATATTGATTTATTAATTTTGACTGGAGGAAAAGGATAATCATTAATAACCAGTTAAAATGTATGTTAAAATGTGTCAACTCTTAATCCTAGTTTGTCTTCTAATTATAATTGATGAGTGAAAAATTTTCCAAACTCTCAAGTTCCTCTTGTAAATTTTCCATCAGGTAATACGACAACAAAATCCAAGTTCTTATTTTCCAAAAAAGGCAACAACTTTAAATCATTTCTCAATGTCTACAAAATAGTTAATTACAAATTGAACATTCTATATGTTATCTATTTATATTGAAAATATTAATTATGTTTACTAACAAATCACAATGTAATAACATAAATAATTATAAACTAGCTGACCATTTAAGTAATTATTGATTTGATTTATGTATAAAATATATTATTAATAAATTTATAAATGGATCAAGAAAACCTTTAATAAAACAATTACCAATGGTGTATAATGATTAATAATATAAGAATTTATTAATAAGAATTTTCATATATATATATATTTATAGTATTTATGGATGCTAGTTTTAAGTTTAAAAATTAAGAAGTACTAATATTGAGTTTATTTTAATTAACAAACTATATTAATATAATTGTAAATTTTTCTGTCTTTCAGTAATTTTATTATATATTTTCTAAATGAAATGGGATAAATTATTATCATGAGTGCTTTATTAAAGTAATTAAATAATAATTTCTTTAATTTGGCAGACATTATATTAAATGTAAATGTGGAACTTAATGGAATCCTAATCTTTTGAGATAAAGAGTCAAAAAAGAAATTAGATATAAAGTATTAAATCAAATATTCTCTTTATAAATTTATATCTTATGAAAAAATTCAGTTAGATAAAAACCTGATGATGATCAAATTATTTTACTCTTTCGATCAAATACAAACCAATAAGATTTTGATTATTAATAATCTGTTATTGAAAATGAAGAAATGTAAATTAAATTATAAGAAATTCAATTTAAATCTAATGGAATTTTATATTAAAGTGAATCCAAATTATTAATTATCAGCATTTTTTAATTATGTTACAAGTAGATTCATAATGGTAATGTAGTCAAAATAAATTGCAATCATTTTTATCATATAAATTGCTTAAGGTTTTGACAGAGATGTAAATTATGGATAGAACTATGTGTTAAATTAAATGTAAGTGTGGAAGCAAATTAAGAACAAACATCATAAGAACTATTCCAGATCTATCTAATAGAATAAAGTTACTTAATTACTTATTTTCTTCAAATTAATATAGATCTTACACACTGGCTTTATTTATTAAAGCAATACTTCTACCTCAGGTAGAGAATAAAAATTATAAATTTCTAAAATTATATCATACTACATATATATATATCTAATATTGTATTTTATAATTTAAAGAATACGCTTATAATAAATGAGATTTTCATAAGATATAAATAAAAAATCAATAATTGAAATTAGAATAGCAGTTAGAGTTTATTTTAGTAGTAAATTTGAAATATTTACAAAGTAAATTATCAACTTCTCTTTTATATATATCTTAATTTGAATATTAAATATATTCACCTCTGTATAAATATATATTGAATAATTAATAAATACATAAAAAGTTTTCCTTAATGATGATAAAGATTTAAATATTATCAATTTATAAGAGTCTAAAATAGTTGGACATTAAAAAAATAAATAATATATGAATAAATAGATGATGCAATAAGAGGTGAATAGATATAACTAATAAGAGATTAAAAATTATAAATGCTTTTATTACTTTTAGAGATAGAAAATGAGGAATCACTTATAAAATTTTGATACCTAGAAATATAATATGATATTATCAATTTATTGATCAATATTTAACTATTCTATGTAGAATTAGTAAAATTAAAAAAATAATATCTTTTTACACTCATAACTTTAATCTTACTTAACTCAACAGATTTATAACCATTAATAATATTATTAAAAACAGAATAAGAAATATTACAGTAACGCTCTTTTTTGAAGAGAATAACAAAAATTAAAATAGTTCCAATCAGAAAATTAATTTTTTCTTATGAATGTTTTTAATTTTACAGTAATTTGATTATTTAATATTATTTATATATTTTTATTTTTATTTTTTGAAAAAATGAAAGGATAAATTTCACAGTAAGCACGCTATATTTTTGTGGCTAATATTTTCCCTAAATGTGAATGTTCCTTATTTATTCCAAGGAATTTTAAAATCTAATATAATTGCTATCTAAAAATATGAATTTGTTTAATTTTAAGTTAATATGGATTTCTTATTTCTATTTAACTTAGATTAAATTCTCACAAATAAAATAATGAAATCACTAATGGTGCCTGAAAAGATCGTTAAATCTCTGTTGTATTCAATTTCAAATATGAGATACTATCAATAAAACTATAAGCTATGGGTCCTTTCAAACCTTCTTTGGACCTATTTTAAATTGTTCAACTAAATATGAGTTAGTCCTATTACCAATTGTCATTTTTTTTTAGTATTTATTAATCCAACATAAATTAAAATTATTTTTAAGATTGTATTTGAGATAACAATGTTATCATATCAAAAGTAGACTAATAGATTTTTGATGAAAGAATCTGATCCCATGTCTATTATCTCATTATGAATTTGCTAATCAATGAATATATAACTGAAACCATAAATTACAGATCTTATTTAAACATTTATGAGATTTATTAATTCAAAAATAATTAGGTTTCTTAAATTCTAAATAATTTTATTGACCATTAAATTCTAAAATTTTGATTTAAATTATATTGTTAAATTTGATTTGTAACTTTTTTGATTGGAATATATTTAAATTGGAGGGTGAAATATAATGATATAATATGTCAAAGAAAATATCAATATCTCTAAATTAATAAGGAGTTTTAAGTGAAAAACATCGGTTCATTATTCTTAGTATCTTCATAATAATAAAAAATATCCCATTTGCCTACTTCTACACCATTATTGTTTTCGTTTTGAATGTTTATATATATTTAGAAGAAGCTAATAATTATTTTGACCATACTATAATAGAAATCCCATTCTTAATATATAAACCTTTTTTAGAACCTTTGCTGATGCTAATAACAAATTATTTTATTTATTAATGTTAATGAAATTACAATAATGAGATGATCTAACTGATGCGTTTTCTATTAATTCATAAACAAATTTATTCAAAATAGTTTTTGATTTCATAATTTATGAAATTAAACATTATGTATTAATTTCCCATCTTTAAAGCAATTTAAGTTATACTTATTGTAATTAATCCAAAATTTAATTAAAAATAGAAGAAAAAATTGTATATTATATTTAAAGAACTTTAGAATAAGAAAGAGGATGCAATCTATTTTCAAAAATCATAATCATACTCTTTTGCATTTTCCTCATCTTATATAAGCAATTTATATTTCTATAGCAGAAAAGCTGATAGTGAGTAGGTTCTTGAAAGAGAGAATAAAATGGATGATGAAGAAGAAGAAATTAGAAACAGTTGTTATATATTGATTTTAATTCTTGTAATGTAATCATTATAATCATTCAAAATCTTTATGGAATTATAAAATAACTAAACTTTTGTTCACTAAGTAATTTTATATCTGAGCTTCAATTTTAGCAAGAAGAAACACAAATTTTTTGGTTCTAAATATGAACAATTTTTAATAATTCTGTACAAATCAATATTTAGTAAATTATTAAGAAATTTATAATTTTACAAAATTTGAGATATTAATTGGATTTTTTAAATTCATACCAATAATCTAATTGTTTTATTGATTAACTTGACATAAAGAATAAAATTAGAAGTTACAAGCAGTGAAGGCGATACATTTTTTATATGGGCCAAAGTAGTATTTATTTTTATTTGTATAATTTAGGATAATATAATTATTCATAAGCAGAAATATAGTATTATTATATTAAATAATTAAATCATAAATAATTGAACTATTAGTTTAATAGAAATAATTAATATAATTGGTCAATATATAATTATTCTAATTTTACTTTTTTATTCATAGTAAATTTTTAAACTTAACCTTCAATTGAAATATACTTTCTAAAAAGTTCAACATAGGATTAAGATTAACTTACATTAAATTTAGTTATATTTATTTATTTTTATTGATACTTTAGTTACTGAATTATTATAAGAATAAATTTGATTTTTCTCATTAAGATATGAACAAATTGTAAAATTATAGATTTATTCTGAAAAGAAATCTAATATATGCTTGAATTAGAAAATGTTTATAGTAAAACAGATGAAAATGAAAAGAAGTTCTAAATAAAATAAAGAAGAGTTATACTATCTGTAGCAGTGCTTGCAAAATAGATACCAACCAAAATTTATTCGATAATAGAGACTTGAATGTTCAGATAAAGTTGGATTAATAACATTCAAAATAAACCAGAGATAATAATTCTCACTTAAAACTTCACACCCCATGATAAAAAAATGAAAACTAAAATTATCATATTTTCTAATAATTACATTAAAAATCTTTAAAAATTTAAGGATTATAAATTATATTATTTTTTTTGTACTTTTTTTCAGACATTATTTTTTTAAATTATAGACTTTATTTATAATAATATAGGTCTTTTAAGTATATATATTAGGTTATCTTTCTGTTTCCAAATCATCAATGGTTATTAATGAATGAGTATAGTCATGAAAGAAATAGAAAAAACTGATTTTACATACTTGTTATCAATTATATTTATAAATATGTATAAATATTAATATGGTTTTTTTTCCTCATAATTCAAACTAAAGATTTTTATTCTATTTTATAAATTCCATTTTTATTGAATGAATACTTTTTAAGAAAAACTATCCTAAAATTTATAAATTCTTTGAATACCTACTAAATTAGTTATCTTCCTTAATTTATAACAATAATGTAGAGAATATTAAAATTTATAATTCATAAAGTGAGAACTTTTATACATTATAAGATATTTTACGACTTATTTATTTTACTAAAAGTATTCTTTTGTTTTAATATAATAATTCATTAATAATATAAATTTATCCAGACAATTAATGATATTTGATTTATTAATAAATTTCTTATTATAACAAATTCTTCCAAATGAAATCTAAAATCGAATAATTATGAGAAGTTTATAATTAAATTATGAAAATTATTTACAAATTTATACTATTTATTTAATTCTTTGTATAAGCATAGGAAGAATGGGTAACTATTTTTCATGAATTTACAGGTTCAAATTGGGATTATTAAGGTTATTTATCATATTTAAATTAGGTTGGCTTTTCTATAAGGTATATGGTGGCCCAATTACCCGATGTGGTGATACAAATATATTTGGAGGATATGGAGCTTTCGCAAAATAAACCTTAATTTCTTCAAAATTTACACTTCCACCTCATTATTCACTAAGAATATCATTTGATTTATGGAAGTATTATATTTATTGATATTTAGGGTTGATAGTTGGGATGGTGAAATTGTAAAAATAGTATTTGATAGTGAAATTAATTAAAGATCATTTATCTTAGAAGATGGACAATAAATTTGTGGGCATATTCATGAAATTTATTTAGAATATAATATCCCATTTAGTATCACGATACCAATACACAATTCCTAAACTTTAGTTGTCATAATGACTTCAACTTTGGATTCGAGTCCTCTAGATGTATAAAAATTATATAATTTTAGGAATCATGGGGATTTAAAGATTTCAAAATAGAGATATTATAATGTCCTAAAGATTGTGTATTTTGTAGAGATTAAACATCATGCTACTTTTGGATAAATGTTGAATCATATTGGAATAGCTAAATTAATTCTGAAGGATGGATGATTAACGGAAATATACCACTTACTTCAAGTGAATGCAATTTAATGTGGATTGCAGGTATTCTACAAAAAGGATAAAGAATAGAGAAAATCATAGATCTTTTATCTCCTCATTTTAGGGTTTAGATATCATTCAAGTTGTGGACTATAGGTGAATGGTCAAATGAATTATTTAAATTGGAGATTGATGATGAAGAGAAATATTCAATCCTAATTACTTCTGACAATTTTATTTACAGTTAATGTTAAGCACAAAAAGTTAGGATCACTAATATAGATGTAAGTTCATTACATAAATCTACTTAAATAAAATTATTAATGAAAACAGAAAAATATATAAATGATGTAGCAGGTTGGGGACTTTCATAATTTGATTTGTTTGTAGCTATATGCTCATATAATTGTAAAGAATGCTATGGAGAATTAAAATCATAATGCAGTATTTGCAGAGATGGATGGATAATGGTAGATATTGGATGCATTGGTATATATTTTTTATAATAAATAAGCTCCACCTTTAGAATGCTCTTAAATTAGAATTACTGAATATTAAAATACATAAGTAGATCTCATGACTTCATTTCGAATAAGAAGTGATGAAATAGCTCAAAATATCTCAGAGATTGGATAAAAAACAATAATTCTCAATAAATAAATAGCCTCTATAAATTTTTAAATTTAAGTTAAATGCTTAGAAAAATAGATAGTTAAAAGCTTTTTCAGAAGTTGCTATTCATGTGATTAGGAATAATATAAATTTTCAAATTAATGTCAAAATAATGTAATAATTTATCATCCAACATTTCTTTAAGAGTAAATAGATGAAAAAGAATTAATAATAACTATCTCTTAATAATAATTGCAAATTGTTTAAGTAGCAACAATTGAAGAAACTAAAAGATAATTTTTAATTCTAGAAATTGAAATATGAATCATGGGATTATTCATTTAAAAGTTTATAAATTACATAGTTGATTCTAATACAATAATAATTATTTATTTTTTGCATTATCTTTAGTGTTTCCCAGAAATAGGCATGAATCCTATATTCATTATACAAATATCCCCCTATTTCTTACTTAAGAAAAATCTAGACGATCTTTATTTTTAAAGACTCCATACCACAAAAAGCAAGGAAGTGTGCAACCAAATGTAATTAATAATGGTAAGCAAAATGTGATAATCAATTTAGCATGTTAAATTGTATCATATCTATAGGCCAAATTCCCTTAAATTCAAAATTCATCTGAAATCTTTCTATAAGATAATAGTGAAATTATTCTTCCTATTAAATTTCCCTATAAAAATATGAATAAATATATCGATGATGTAAATATAAAAGAAAAATTAAATTGTGTTTGTTTAGTAATTATTTCAATTGCTACAATAGTAAAAATAACTATTATATATGAAGAAGTCATAATTAAGTTCCAATTTAAAAGAAAGTATATTATCAATATATCTTTGATATTAAATAAGAAGCAATCTAAAGAATAAGCAAGTAATTCAATAGGGTTACCAACAACTGAAGCTAATCCTGCTGGTACTTGTAATTAAAAGGTAGAAATAGTTGAAATGATTTGAAGATAATTTGTGAATACTTTGATAAGAATAGGAGTTAGAGCTTTATTATTGCTATTCAAACTCCAAAAGCTTTCAAGTTTATACATTTAACAAATTCCTCAATCATTTTTATAGGGCTACTTACTGAGATGAAAGTTGAAATCAAAGTCCAAAGACTCACAAATATTATTTTAATAACATTATAATCTATTAGATCATAACTTCCACATGAATAAGCTTAACTTACAGAATAAGATTTGCTTCCTCTTGAATTATATAAATCACACTCCTCTCATAAGCTCCAATATGTCCTATCATACATGATTCATCTCGAGGTTTCCAACCACCATTGCTATTCTCCACCAAATGATATCTTGTGTTGCCCAAGATACTTAATATAAATTTTAAAATGTATATCAAAGAACACATCTACCAGAAGTTTAATTTAAGAATTCACCTAATTGACAAGGAAATGTTTTTATGTCCACCTAAAATTAATAATTTGTGACATAATTATAAATTAAAAAAGGTGGACTCTCTTGATATAAAGGGACTGAAACACTATTACATTAAATTTACAATCAAAGAACTAAATCTTGATTATAAGTAGGATTGAAGTAAATAATTAGATTATCTAAATTATAATCACCAGTAGTTTCATTAAATACATCATATTAATCTTTTTAAGAACTTAAATTATTAGCTTTTGGATATCAAATACAATAAGAATCTTACAACCCCATAATTTATTCATAAAACTTATCCAAAGCAATAATCCTAAATGTAGGATTATAAGGAATAAATTCTGATTTGATTGGATCAAAATACCTATAATTGTCTATTGTTATACCAGAAGGCAATATTAATTAATAATTTTTCTAATCTCTTTATCAGGAATTCTTATTTATTTCTGGGTTTGGTAAAATCTACGAGTATAAGGAAAGAAAATACCTATACTCTCCAAGTACG